CATTGTTCTCAACCCTAACCAAACCCAGCACAGCATTTATATAAAAAATGATTTTATAATGTCCCATTTACTAATCCTGAAATAAAATACATAGGTAATAGAATGACTTACCAATTTCAGAATATCAGTGGAAGAATACTAGTGTTTGGAGACCCAACTATACAGGAGAAATTAAAAAGAAAGTCATTTTTTATAACGTTATGCATGCATGTATAAAGCACTCAGGTCGAATGACATTGGGAGACATGGTGGCATAGCCAGATCCTTACACCTGTTTGTGGACTCACCATGAATACAGCAGTGACAGAGCAGACCCCCACAGCTATAACTGATAGGAATTTCATTAGTCTTGGTGATGTCATTTTCTAGAATGGTAAGAAAATCTTGGTAAATTTTAAATGAAACATAATAAAATTGCCCATCAGTATACACGGTAGTTGCTGTTCTGGAAAGTTCAGTTCCTCATAAACTATACAGAATATCTATACAAACTATACAAAATATATAAAGCAGAATTCATTCTGTGTTCAAGCAACAGGGATTTTATTGTTGCTGTTGTTTTACTTACATAAAGTTGAGAGAAACAGCACAAAGTCCTGCGGGGACCAGGCATGGTGGCTCATGCCTGTAACCCCAGCACTTTGGGCAGCCAAGATGAGCTGATCACTTGAGGCCAGTAATTTGAGACCAGCCTGGGCAACATGGCGAAACACCATCTCTACTAAAAATACAAAAATTATCCAAGCGTGGTGGTGTGCACATGTAATCCCAGCTATTCAGGAGGCTAAGGCACGAGAATTGCTTAAACTCAGTAGGCAGAAGTTGCAGCGAGCCGAGATCACACCACTGCACTGTAGCCTGGGTGACAGAACGAGACTCCATCTCAAAAAATAAAAATACAAAAATTAGCTGGGTGTGATTGCGCATGCATGTAATCCCAGCTACTTGGGAATCTGAGGCATGAGAATCACTCAAACTCAGGAGGCAGAGGTTGCAGTGAGCCGAGATCATGCCACTGCTCTCCAGCCTAGGCAACAGAGCATGACTGTCTCAAAACAGAAAAAGAAGTCCTGTGGGATATGAAACAAATCCTGTTGTTCAGGCCTGTCCCCTCACTGCCAGAAATCTCACTTGCTGACCTCTACCTTAATGCCAATTGTGCGATCATGGAAAGCACCCTCACTAATACAGTTCTCCCTTGATATCTGCAAGGGATGGAGATTAAAATCCACAGATGCATAAATTCCTTATATAAGATAGCACAGTATTGCATATAACCTACATACCTCTTCCAGTATACTTATTTTTGTTGTTGTTGTTGGCTTGTTCTGTTTTTTGAGATGGAGACTCTCACTCTCCAGGCTGGAGTGCCATGGTGTGATCTCAGCTCACTGCAACCTCTGCCTCCCGGGTTCAAGCTATTCTCACGCCTCAGCCTCCCAAGTAGCTGGGATTACAGGCGTGCGCCACAACACCTGGCTAATGTTTTTGTATTTTTAGTAAAGACAAGGTTTCACCATGTTGACCAGGCTGGTCTCAAACTCCTGACCTCAGGTAATCCGCCCACCACGGGAGCTGGTTATTGTACTCCTTTTGTCATTGACAGTAGGGAGGCATAGAGAGCTGAAGCACCCTACTGTGAACACTGACAGTCTGGCTCAAAGCCTGCCCTCTTGACCACCATGCTAACCTCCAATTTGTAGAGAACAGAAGTAGAGCTGTTTTACCAATACAGTTGTGCTCTCCATGGCTGTTGGTTAGCAACATTTGATTTTGTGGTGTCCTTTGTGCAAATATTTTGTCTATCATAAAACATATTTTCAACTTTTTACCTTTTATTTTTATTTTGAAATGGAACCTTGTGTTATCATTTGCTACCCAGTTAAGTCTTTGCATCACTGTGAGATAGTTTACATTGGTTTTGCCATTCTCTGATCTATTTATTTTGTATATTCCTTTTTATTTGGTGAGTCAGAAGTACGCTTTTAGAATAGCATCATGGCACAGCAGATTTTGGAGTCACGCAGTTCTACCACTACCACCTATATGCCCCTATTTAGATTGCCCAATTTATCTGAGACTCTGTAAAATAGGGATTATAATATTGCTTCATAGCAATGTCGTGATCAAGATTATCAAATTGTATGTAAAGTAGGTAGTTCAGTACACACAGAATACACAGTAAATTGCACCTTTTTTTTTTTTTTTTTTTTTGCCTGAATTTATCAAGAGTGCATCACTGTGCAGCTGTCAGCTCTGTTTATTGTTCCAGTCCCCGGCTCTGCCTCATTCCGTTCTTGGACTCCAAGAGCATTTGATTCAGGAAACCCTTTCCCCTGCAACCATTATTAATGCTTGTATATTAACACATATCTTTAAAACAAGTACAAAGGTAGCCAAACTCTTTTTTTTTTTTTTTTGCCTCTTTTAATTCAACACAACCATGTCGTAGAACACCCTTTGGAAATTGCCACCATAGCACACAGAGTAGAGAAAAGCCTAGAATGCTCTCTTTATACCCTTTTCCTGTTTGGGGTGTCTTTGGGGGAATTCATGTTGTTATTTAGTTAAGTTTAGAGCAGACTCTATCTGGAACACTGCTTGAAACATGACAGGGCTAAGCGAAAAGGAAGGATTTTTCGCCCTCAGGAATTTAGCAGCTCATAATAGCAGGGGTAGAGCAAGTGCAAAGTACCTGCGACCCAGGGTAGAGTTTGAAAAAGGCCTCCTTAGGAGAACAGAGGACATATGTTTATGTTAGGCTGGCAAAAGCAGGAGCTGTTCTGTGAAAAAAGTAACATCTAAAAGACTGAAAGGATCAGAAGTATTCTACAGATGGAGGGAGGAGACATTCCAGGCAGAGGGGACAGTATAAGCAAAACTGAGGGGGACGTGAGACTGATTTAGAGACCAAAACATACTCTGGACCTAACTAGAGCAAAGCACGTGTTCACCCAGCACTGTGGGAGAGAGACAGGCACTAAAGAGTTTTCTTTCCTAAAAGTGATGGGACTTAAATCCATTTCATTTTATTCTGGACTTAATTTGGCTAGACAGTAATGGGTTTCCACCTTGTTAAATCCTCCAAGTTTTAAAAGACTTTATTGACTTCTTCGAGACTTCTGTTTCAGACTAAATTGTTCTTTCACTATGAACTTTGAATTCATTTATCCCAGAAACAAAGTGAGAATTTAAGACCTGGAAGTGACTTTAGAGATCCTCTAGCTCACCCCCATCTTATGGATGAGGATCTAGAAGCCAGTCAGTTTCATCACTTGACCATAGTAACACAACCAGGAAGTAGGCAAACAATAGAACACAAGTGCCTTCTCTCCAGGTCCTGGACTGCTGGACAGAGAGCATTTGGTTCCCTCGGGCTCAGAATATTCAGTATCCCGTTTTGTTATTAATGATACTTCAATAGCTTTATTAAGATACAATTTACATACCATACGGTTTATCCACTGAAAGTGTACAGTTCGGCTGGGCACAGTGGCTCACTCCTGTAATCCCAGCACTTTGGGAGGCTGAGGCAAGCAGATCACTTAAGGCCAGGAGTTCAAGACCAGCCTGGCCAACATGGCAAAACCCTGTCTCTACTGTAAATACAAAAATTAGCCTGGTGAGGTGCCGCATGCCTGTAATCCCAGCTACTTGAGAAGCTGGGGCATGAGAATTGCTCAAACTCGGGAGGCAGTGGTTGCAGTAAGCCGGGATTGTACACTGCACTCCAGCCTGTATGGTAGAGTGAGACTCTAAATAAATAAATTGTACAATTCAATGTTTTTTAGTATATTCAGAGTTGTGCAACCATCACCACAACCAGTTTTAGGACTACTGTTTTTAGTAGAGACGGGGTCTTACTGTGTTGCCCAGGCTGGTCTCAAACTCCTGGGCTCAAGTGATCATCCCACCTCGGCCTCCCAAAGTGCTGGGATTACAGGCGTGAGCCATAGCGCCCAGCCTAGAACATTTTTATGAAATGTTCTAAAATGAAATCCTGCACCCATTAGCAGTCATCCCCCATTTCCTCCTCCTTCCGACCGCTGGCAATCACTTATATACTTGCTGTCTATATTAATCTTTCCTAGTCTAGGTATTTCATTAAAGAAATCGTATGTTCTTTGTGACTGACTTTTTTCACTTAGAATGTTTCGAAAGTTCATCTAAGTCGTAGCACGTGTCAGTACTTTATTCCCTTTAATTACAAATAATATCCCTTTCATAGGTATACAGCATTTTGTTTATCCATTTATATCAGTTGACGGACATGGACTGTTCCCCATTTTTAGCTACTGTGAATAATACTGTTAAGAACATTCATATACATGTTTGTGTTTACTTATTTGTTTTTTTCAAAGATACAGTCTTGCTATGTTGCCCAGGCTGGCCTCTTAATTCCTCGGCTCAAGCGACCCTCCCACTTCAGCCTCCTGAGTAGCTGATGCACATGTTTTTGTGTGGATATATACTTTCATTTCTCTGTTACATATACCTGAAAGTAGAATTGCTGGATCATATGCTAGTTCTCTATTTAGTTTTTCAGGAATAGCCATACTGTCTTCCATAGTGACTACACCATTTTACATTCCCATCAGACTGGCCTGATTGGTTTTCAACTCCTGACCTCAAACAATCTGCCCACCTTGGCCTCCCAAAGTGCTAGGATTACAGGCGTAAGCTACCGTGCCCTGCCCAAGATTTAAGTTTTCTTCTAAGAATCTTAGAGTTTTTAACTTTTACATTTAGACATGTAATCCATTTCGAGTTAATTTTTGTGTGTATTGGGAGGAAGAGGTCAAACTTTTTCACGGGTAGCTGTCCACTTGCCACAGGATCATTTGTTGAAAAGAGTGTTCTTTCTGCATTGAAATGTCTTAGCATCTTTTTATCATTCTTCTCAACTAAGCTCTATTAGGAAAATGTCTTTCTCTATTCATAAAGTACAGGTTTGTCAAAATCCAGAGGTTCATTCATATGATGCTCTGTTGATTTTACAGCCCAGCAGACCGGGTTATCCTAGTCCGAGGTCCAGCGAAGGATTTTATCCCAGCCCACAGCACATGGTACAAACCAATCATTACCAGGTATGCCAGTCATTACGGGTATAAACTGTGTTACTTGATTATTTAGCACTTTTGGGATAGAGAGGTACATTGTGCATGTTTTTATTTGTGTACTTATGAGTATGATTTGGCCGATAGAAAGCTGGGAAAGTGGTTACCCTAATCATTGACTGATGTTGTCTCAATACCCCACACAGAGGGCGTTTGCTTTTCACGCCTTCTTCAAGTGGACAGGGCCAGGACCTGCTGCCATTCTTAGGCACGTTTTCATCCACTCGCTATGGTAAAAGGCAAGGTGAAGCCAGTGGGCACACACTCTGCAGAGGGAGTACTGAACTGGACAGTTTTTATGGAAGGCAAGAATAAAATTCAAAATTAACAGAACCCAGATGAAATACCATATGGACAAGTGTGAAAAGTGTTAGATTTATAGACAGATACCCTGTGCAAATTAGAAAAAATTATCCTTGAATGAAAAGGGCCTGAAACAAAGTAAACAATTCATTTGTTTCGAGAAAAAGTTATTAACTTTTACTGAGGTATACCTTACAATGCGCACAGGTCTTTGTTCCGACAGATGCATACCCCAGTGCATCCCATCCTCACTTCAGGATATAGAGCGTGTCTGTGACCCCGGCAGTTCCTTTGTGCACCTTCCCATCAGGCAACTCCTGCCCCAGGAGCAACCACTCTTCTCACTTCTAGTATCAGAGATTTCTGCTTGTTCTAGAATTTTATATAAATAGATCATATAGAGTGTGCTTTTTAGGCCTTATCTTTTTTTAACTCATTGTAATGTCTGTAGAAGTCAGAGTCCTATTGAGGGTGTCGGTACTTAACCTTTCCTACCTCCTTCACAGAGTTGTTGAAAGCATGGTTTAAATTAAGGCCTCTTGGGTCAAAATGGGCAAAAAATCTTAACTTTGGTACTTAACTGTCAGTAATAAGGGAGAATGTAAGCACTTTCTTATTAGAAAAGATAGGTCAGTGGTAGTTTAGAACAGCAAATTTCAGCCTCTTTAGCCTCCAGATTCTAATGTATTAATTCTGGAGCCCAAGAATAGCTTATCGTTAGCAAGCAACCTCAGTAGGTTCTGAGGTAGATGACTCAGTCAGACCTATGTTTTGGGAGACACTGTTCTGAGATGGCCGCTTGCCTGGCAGAAGAGGAGTGAATCATTTTTCTTGGGCACCTGTCTGTTCGTTCAGCAGGGTTGCACTGAATGTTCATCTACTCTGCCTGGCACTATTCTAGGCACTGGGAATATGAAGACAAATGAAGTACTCTTTTTTCTCATGGAAGGAGCTCACAGGGCCCTTTGTCAGTTTAGATTACTACCAGTTCCATAAGTGAAGAAGCCAAAACCCTGACCCAGCACAAGGGTCAGAGCAATGGGAAGTACACAGGTGGCCTAAAGAAAGAAACCCCACCTCTATGATTGCTGAGAGACCCTGAGCTCTGGCAAACAAGCAGATGGGCCCCAGAGTCTGTGCCTGGCTGGTATGGAAAGTGAACTGGCCCTGAGTGGGAATTGAATACGAGCATTGTTTTGAGAAAACATGACAGCACCTGCTTAATGAGACAAGCTGTTAGCAGAGAGACAGTTCTCTTTGTGTCCCAGCAGGCCTGGTCTGTGGCACTGTCAAGATTTGAAACTCTCATATGTGTTTGTTAGTGGCTGTCTGTCACCAGTGCAGTGGAAGCCCCTGAGAGTGAGGACTTGTCTCTATTTTAAGGGCTTAGAACAGCGTGTAAAAGTGAGTAAATAGAGAATTAAGTAAAACATTGATTTTTTTCATTGAACTAATGTGTGATTAACCTTTCCCAAGCCTAAATTTTCCTCTCTTGTAAATGAGACCAACTATGAGACATTTCCTGAAGTTACTTCATTTTTAGCCTAAAGTGATCCTTCTACATGGTTACTATTATGTAGAAAACTGCCTTAGACTATTTTAAACCTCCTTGTGAAAATTCCTAAATGTTGTCTGGCAATAATATGTCCCTTTTCACCAAAAATCTTGATATAGCATTTTGCATTTAGTAGCAGTTTTTATTATTAAGATATTTTCATTCAAATAAACTGTGAGAACTAACTATATGTCTCACTTGAAAATTCATTAATTTTATATTGTCCATATGGAGTTTTGGTATAAATTAATGCCTAGAGACCAAATAAATGCACAAAACCTTTGTTGAAGGGTGTGTTGATATTTGGAAATACAGTTTTGGCTGTGCTTTATCTCACTAAAAAATTAACTGACAACACCCACCATGCAGCACTAGCCTAATGAGGTGTGGAGACCAATACTGATTCTGTTCTCTGTCTTTCTCTTGATTGAGAGAAGGAACCATATAAAGAAACCTGTCTTATTTTCCCTCTGCCTTGAAATTTTTCTCTATGTCCAACCGAATGTCTTCTCTCTGCCTTAGTCATCATTGTTAGAATTTAAAGGTACGACTTATCCTACCATCAGCTCTCAGGTCATTAGAGGACAAACAGTTGAGGGGTTTTGTGTGTGTGTGTTTTGTTGTTGTTATTGTTAGGGGATAGTGGTTGGTTGGGCAGGAAAGGGGGTTTCTAGAGCAGAGTGTGGCACAGCCATTTTTGTGGCTTCCTGTTGCTTTTGCATCCAAGGATGGCCTGCCCTCATTATTTTAGTAAATGTGAAATTCCAAAGAAACAATTTCTTATTTTCTAGTATATACTTGCACTAGCTCTCTAATGCAGCCATAACAAATGTCCTTTCTTGAGACTTTAGCTGAGAGTCCATTTCCTTGCCTTATCAGCTTCTATAGGCCACCCACATGCCTTGGCTCACGGTCCCCTTACTCCGTGTTCTGAAGCCAGAAGTTTTTTGGGTTTTTTTGTTTTGTTTCGTTTTTTTGTTTTTTTGAGACAAGAGTCTCGCTCTGTCACCCAGGCTGGAGTGCAGTGGCGCGATCTCGGCTCACTGCAAGCTCCTCCCCCCGGGTTCACACCATTCTCCTACCTCAGCCTCCCGATTAGCTGGGACTACAGGCGCCCGCCACCGCGCCCGGCTAATTTTTTGTATTTTTTAGTAGAGATGGGGTTCACCGTGTTAGCCAGGATGGTCTCATCTCCTGACCTTGTGATCCGTCCACCTCGGCCTCCCAAAGTGCTGGGATTATAGACTTGAGCCACTGTGCCCGGCCCAGAGCCAGCAGTATTAACTAACTCTGACCCTTCTTCAGTGGTCCCATGTCCCTCCCTCCTCTTACACTTCCCTCTTGCACTTTTAAGGACCCTTGTAATTACACTGGACTCACTCAGATATCCTGGATACCCTCCCATCCCAAGGTCCTTGACTTACAACCACATTTGCAAAGTCTCTTTCACCATGTAAGGAAACATATTCACATGTTCAAGGGATTAGAACATGGGTATCTTTGAGGGGCCATAATTATGCCTACCACAATATTCTCTGTAATTTTAGTTTCCTTTGTGTATGAAGCAGAACTGTGCAGATGTTATAGTTGAACATTACCTTGCCTCCTTACTCATTCACAGGTTTCTGGCTACCCTGGTTCACATGGAATCACAGCCATGGCTGGCAGCATCTATCCAGGTCAGGCATCTCTTTTGGACCAAACAGATTCATGGAATCATAGACCTCAGGAGATAGCAATGTGGCAGCCCAATGTGGAGGTAAATCGGGTGTCTTGGGCTTCAGTTTGTTAACTTATAAAGGATGGCAAAGCTGGGCATGGTGGCTTACACCTGTAATCCCAGCACTTTTGGGAGGCTAAAGTAGGAGGATTGCTTGAGCCCAAGAGTTTGAAACCAGTCTGGGCAACATAACGAGACCCTGTCTCTACAAAAAATAGAAAATTAGTCACGTATGGTGGTATATGCCTGCAGTCCTAGCTACTCGGGATGCTGGGGTGAGAGGATCATTTGAGCCTAGGAAGTTGAGACTGCAGTGAGCTGAGATCGTGCCACTGCACTCCAGCCTGGGCAACAGAACAAGAACCTGTCTCAAAAAAAAAAAAAAAAAAAGTAACAAAGCATGGCCTAAGACACCTTTTATTTCTAAATCCTAAGATTTATTGATTTTAATGACTTTTTTTTTTTTTTTTTGAGATAGAGGCTCACTCTGTCTCCCAGGCTGGAATGCATTGGTACGATCTCGGCTTACTGCAACCTCTGCCTCCCAATTGTTTGAGGCAGATTCAAACAATTCTGCCTCAGCCTCCCGAGCAGCTTGGATTACAAGCGCAAGCCACCACGCCCAGCTCATTTTTGTATTTTTTAGTAGAGGCAGAGTTTCACCATGTTGGCCAGGCTGGTCTTGAACCCCTGACTTCAAGTGATCCACTCGCCTCAGCCTCCCAAAGTGCTGGGATTGCAGGCTTGAGCCACCATGCCCGGCCATATTTTAATGACTTAATTCAAAGATCAGGATACTCCATCTACTCAAATACTTTCTGGTTTCATGAACTTTTTTAACTAAAAGAACCCAGGGAGAAATACTAAAATCTTTAGTCCATATATTTGAAAGGCAAAGCCCTCAGTGGAATATAATCAGCATATGCATGAGGCCAACGAAGAAACAGGAAGACAGAGCATTCAGTTCTTTGGATCATGTTAATTTTTACTGAATTTTCCTGGTAAAACCAAGAACTACTCTTACAGTTTAAAAATTTATTTGAGCTGGGTACAGTGACACACACCCATAGTTGCATCTACTCAAGGGGCTGAGGTGGTAAGATAACTTGAGCCTAGGAGTTCAATGCCAGCCTGGGCAACATAGCAAGACCCCATCTCATTAAAAAGAAAAAAAAATTACTTATTTGAATAAAAGAGCATCTATAGTTGTCTGCTACTTATGTTCTTTTATTTAATATTTAATACTCTATAATATGTATCATATTTCAGCCTTCTATTCTAGATTGTTTCTACTTTTTTACTATAAGTAACAATGTATTCTTTGCACATATTTTGTGTTATTTCTTTAAAATAGACCCCTACAAGTGAATCTGTGAGCTAAAGGGTTGTATACTTGTTAAAGATGCTTGATGCACATTAAATTGCACCCTGCAGAAAAGTTACTCCCACAAGCACGGTATGAGAGATCCTGTTTCTACCATACTTGCTGTTCTGCTTATCTTTTCTTGAAAGACGCATAAAACAATATAAGAACATAGGAATAGACTTAAGAGACTGGACATGCTGTTTTCAACCCTTCTTCCAGGACTCTACAGCATTGGACCTGCGAGGGATTGGGCAAGTGTTGCCAACCCACCTGATGGAAGAGCGGCTAATCCGACAGCAACAGGAAATGGAAGAAGATCAGCGCTGGCTGGAAAAAGAGGAAAGATTTCTGGTAATTGTGTTTCTGAAAGGCTTCTTTGACTTTTTAAGCCATGTTAGAGTCTACTATATTGCAAATTATTGCAAAATGTTATGTTTCAAAGCAGGAGAGTTAGTTTTACAACTACTCCTTAAAACTTGCAATAGGCCGGGGCCGGGCACAGTGGCTCAAGCCTGTAATCCCAGCACTTTGGGAGGCCGAGACGGGCGGATCACGAGGTCAGGAGATCAAGACCATCCTGGCTAACACAGTAAAACCCCATCTCTACTAAAAAAAAATACAAAAAACCAGCCGGGCAAGGTGGCGGGCGCCTGTAGTCCCAGCTACTCGGGAGGCTGAGGCAGGAGAATGGCGTAAACCCAGGGGGCGGAGCTTGCAGTGAGCCGAGATCCAGCCACTGCACTCCAGCCTGGGCGACAGAGCGAGACTCCGTCTCAAAAAAAAAAAAAAAAAAAAAAAAAAAAAAAAAAACTTGCAATGGGCCGGGCACGGTGGCCTATTTGGGAGGCTGAGGCAAGCAGATCACCTGAGGTCAGGAGCTCGAGACCAGCCTGGCCAACATGGTGAAACCCAGTCTCTACTAAAAATACAAAAAGTAGCCAGGCGCATGCCTGTAATCCCAGCTACTTGGGAGGCTGAGGCAGAAGAATTGCTTGAACCAGTAGGCAGAGGTTTCAGTGAGCCGAGATCATGCCATTGTATTCCAGCCTGGGCAACAAGCGAAACTCCATCTCAAAAAAAAAAAAAAAAAAAAAAAAACTACTTGCAATAATATGGCTGGATGTGGTGGTTAATGCCTATAATCCCAGTGCTTTGGGAGACCAAGGCAAGAGGATCACTTGAGCCCAGGGGTTCAAGACCAGCCTAGGCAACACAGCAAGACCCTGTCTCTACAAAAAATAAAAAAAATTAGCCGGGCATTGTGGCTTACACCTATGGTCCCAGATACTTGAGAGGCTAAGACTGAGTCCAGGAGTTCTAGATTGCAGTAAGCTATGATTGTGGCACTGCCCTCTAACAGATCCAAAATCCCTGTATCCAAAACCCATAAGGGCCATGTGTGTTTCATAATTCAGTATTTTTTAAATACTAAAAAGTTAGTGTAATATGCTGAACATTATACATTATTTAAGACTCTAACAACATGCCAGAGTTAAAACCACCAGTATTTCTATAGCAAAATGCAAATAATCACATTAACAGTTAAATAAAGATTATAAGATGCTTCATCTGTTCAGGTTTTACTACCATATTAGTTTGTTTCAAACATAGAAAAGCACACTTAACATTTTCAGAACTTTTTAGGTTTTAGAAATGAGGATAGAGGAATGTGGACTTGTCCTTTTATTATCTTCATTTTAACAGAACAGGAGAGAGAGACCTAGAGAGCCTCTGTGCCACAGAGCAAGACGGTCTCTTACAGGAAAAGAAAAAAGAAAGAAAAAGCTTGCGATAATGGATTATTTGCTTTTATAATTATCTTTTAGGGATAAATTTCTCTAAAATTTTAGTAGTGTCATTTTGGGCTCAGAGCTATGAGCATTTGTTTGGTTTTTCATTACCGCATTGTTTACCCAGAAACAACTCCTGCTTCCATGTCAGCTTACATATAAACTATTGCATCTTGCTACTGCAGGCTGTGTAACAAGACAGCTAAGATTTGCCTTCCTGGCATTTATGGCTGATGTGAACCTCCTTCTGGATGTGTCTGGACATATGCATGGGAAATGTCTTCCTTCAGGCAACCCTTATTGAAAACCACTTCAGAAGTCCCTTGGGGACAGAGAGGAAGTGGTGGGACAGAGCAATCTCTGTATGTTACTTGACACAAAGGTCCTTTTAGACTCATGGTCCCTGCTGCCAAGCAATTCTGTGCCCTCAGCCTCAGAACTAAGGACTGTGAGAACCTATTCCCCACTCTCCTTGAACCCGGAATAGCTATTTCAGTCTTCCTGTAGTTGCCTCAATCATATTATGGCCGAAAGAAGCCAGGATTCATAATTTAGAGCCAGTAACTTTACCTGGTCTCTCATGCTTTGCATCATTAAACATTCACTGACACTAACTTTGTGTTAAATTTAACCAATTTAGAATTTTGAAAGCATAGGATAAAACTTTCCTTCTGAATTAAAGCAAATCTTGAGATTGTAAGGCAGATGGGAAAAAAAATTGTTATTTTTAGCCTGGCACGGTGGATCACACCTGTAATTCATCCCAGCACTTTGGGAGGCCAAGGTGGACAGATCACTTGAGGCCGGGAGTTCGAGATCAGCCTAGCCAATATGGTGAAACCCTGTCTCTACTGAAAAAAAAAAGAAAAAAAGGTGCAGTGACTCATGCCTGTAATCCCAGCACTTCGGGAGGCTGAGGCGGGCTGACTACTTGAGGTCAGAAGTTCGAGACCAGCCTGGCCAACATGGCAAAACCCCGTCTCTACTAAAAATACAAAAATTAGCCAGGTGTGGTGATGCGTGCCTGTAATCCCAGCTACTCAGGAGGCTGAGGCAGAAGAATTGCTTGAACCTAGGAGGCAGAGGCTGCAGTGAGCCAAGATGGCACTCCAGCCTGGGTGACAGAGCAAAACTCAAAAAAACAAAAATTAGCCAGGCATGGTGGTACACACCTGTAGTCCCAGCTATTCAGGAGGTTGAGGCATGAGAATTGCTTGAACCCAGGAAGAAGTGGTTGCAGTGAGCTGAGATTGTACCGCTGCACTCCAGCCTGGGTGACAGAGTAAGACTCTGGAAAAAAGGGAAAAAAAAAATGTTATTATTTACTACCACTAATCTGAGTGAATTAATTTGGATATTATATCTATTCTAAGAACATATGTTCTCTAGCCCTACATTTCAAAACTATTTTTTGTCCAGATAGCCTCTTTTACCAGGCAGCATTGATTTGTATTTTTAAAGGTAGATGTTATAAATTCTCCGAGCTAGAGTTCTTGTATTTCAGTCCCATATATGACTGCATTTGGACAAAGGGTTTGCTACCAAATGTTGTGAAATGCTACTGCTGTTCTATTGCTCTGACAAAGAAGAACATCAGGAAGAGCAGAAGAGGACCCTGTGTATCACTAGGGGTATTGGGGGAGGCAGCAGAGTGTGGATAGCATTTGAGCCAAGGCTTAAAGGAGAAATTGGAATTTTTAGGGCAGACAGGCTAGGGAAATACATTCCAGGAAGAGTGAAGAGTGTGGGTAATGACATGGGGTCAAAAGGCTATATTCCAGCCAGGCACAGTGAATAATCTCAGCTGCTCGACAGGTTGAGGCAGGGAGATCGCTTGAGTCTAGGAGTTTGAGAGTAGCCTGGGCTTAGCAAGACCCTGTGGCAAAAAAAAAAAAAAAAAAAAAAAAGCCCTAAAGGGAGGAGGATCAAGTACCCAGAATTCCTACAGTATATTATATAAAATGTCTAATCTCTAACAAAAAATTACAAGACATACAAAGGAACAGAAATATATATGAATGATACATAAAAGAAAAAAAGACTGTTGTGGCTGGGCACAGTGATTCACGCCTGTAACTCCAGCACTTTGGGAGGCTGAGGCAGGTGGATCATCTGAGGTCAGGAGTTCAAGACTGGCCTGGCCGACATGGTGAAACCCCGTCTGTACTAAAAATACAAAATTGGCATGCCTATAATCCCGCCTACTTGGGAGGCTGAGGCAGGAGAATCGTTTGAACCCGGGAGGCGGAGGTTGCAGTAAGCCAAGATCATGCCACTGCACTCTAACCTGGGCAACAGAGTGAGACTCTGTTTAAAAAAAAAAAAAAAATGCACACACACAAACTGTATTATAAGAACTTCCTGTATCTGGATGTGACCAAAGCAGAGCATGTTTGTGGGGAAATGGAAAATATTTCTTACTATGTGTTTTGGGTTTTATTTTTACCTTAATAACCATGTAATTGGAGCATCTTCATTTGGTCCTAAACCTGTCTGTTGGGTAACTTCTGAGATAGCTTGCCTGGTGCTAAACTTGGAGGCCATGATGGCATCGAGGCAATTTCCCACTCAAGTACCTTTCCTTTTTTTTTTTTCCCCAAAACAGGGTCTCACACTGTCACCCAGGGTAGAGTGCAGTGCAGTGGCACAATCACGGCTCATTCCAACCTGACCTCCTGGGCTTAATCTGTCCTCCCACCTCAGCCTCCCAAGTAGCTGGGACTACAGTCACGCACCACCATGCCCAGCTAATTTTTGTTTTTGGTAGAATTTTATCATGTTAGCCAGGCTAGAACAAGCATCTTTCTTAATGCTCGTAAGTTGGTATTGTATTTTTATCTTTGCTTGTTTTCCTTACTAGACTGAGCACCTCATGAGTGCAGAGACCATGGACCATGTCTTCTTTTTGTGTCACCTCAAGGATGACACATTACCTACACCAGGGTTTCTCAGCCTGGGCATTGTTGACATTTGGGACTGGGTAATTCTTTGTTGTAGGAGACTGTCCTATGAATAGTAGGAGTTCTTAGCAACATCTCTGGCCTCTACCCACAAGGTGCCAGAGAACCTTACTGAGTGCCAAGCGTGAAGCTTGAATGAACTTCTGTATTATGATGTGCAGTCCTGCGTTCTCTCCCCCAACCCCCTGTACTCTCACACATGCTCACTCTCACCCTTTCTCTAATAAAACATAAGTTCCTTAATGGCAGCAGCTGTGACTTAACTGTCTTCATCCTGCTTCATTTTTCTCCTAATGTTTCTCACTGTGTGACAATGTCTCACTTGTTTTCCTGTCTCCTCCACTAAAGTGTAAGCATCACAAAAATGAGAACTTTATTTATTCAGCACTCTCCCCCAGCTCCTATAGTACCGTTTGTTCAGCAGTAATAAGGCTCAAGCAGTATTTATTAAGCGAATGAATGTACCGCCATACAGTGTTAAGCATCTAAATGTTAGAGGTCAAGAGGGAGGAAGGAAGAATCTGGGGCAGGAATCATAGCGTTTGTGTCACTATTTTTCATCTAAAAACAAGTAATGCATGAACCCTGGGGAAGTAGATAT